GAGGAGATATTGTGCCTGGTAATCCTGACGAATTTCGGACGTTTTCCTAATTTTTTTTTTACTCGTGCGCCTGTTTTGGCCAATTTAGTTAATGATGAATTTCAGTCTGAAAAACATCTACTCATGCTTCCGTTGACAATTTAGAATTTCATTCATTCTGCGATTGCATATTGTGAATCTGATGCTTTCCTATGTTCCGAAGTCGAGATGTAGCCGATGTTTAAAAAAAAATCGCTACCGGTATGGGGTTCAAGCTCTCATTTCAGGGAATATCAATTTATGCACTACGTGGAATGTCAACGGTATCTGCTCATCTTAAGTTTTTATTTTTAGATTTACCGTAGTTCTAAGTTTGAGCTTCTCGAATAATATATTTTATATCCGAGGCATTTTTTCTTCCTCCACTCGATCCCTAAAGTCTGCTTTACCTTTAATGGTCCATAAAATGCAGATATGGATCTTATAGATGAGGTTTAAAACTCGCCGAGCCATGGCTCACTTCTGAAAAACGATATAATCATTAAAACGAGATGACCGTAAACGACGTTAATCGCAGATGATCATCGCTATTGTTTCTTCCGCTTGCCACGAAAATATCAGAAATGCTAATTTCAAATTTTCTGGAAATGCTGGTGCCGTATTTGTCGGAGAATATTTCTTGCAAGAGATTTTCAAGTGCTGGAACGAATTCCTTTGTACCGCGTTCTGACGCGAACCGATTAATTTATTGCTTCATGGGATGCGTATATTTATGGGGAAGTGTTTTTCTTCCGTCATTTTCGTTGAGATTAATCCCTCTCAGATTTCCGAATGCGTCTCAGAAATTTCCTTGATTTTTGTTCGAATTTGCAAATGAATTCGGTCTTTCCAGGAAATCAAAGGTTTCAATTTTTAATTTTTTATTGCTTTTGATGAAACTACATATTTGATTTTCCAAAATTTTTACTGAAAATCTGTTTTCCATTGCACCTTGTTCCGATTTTGAAATGAGAACGTTTTCTAGAAAGCGAGTGGATTCCAGCGAGAAGACTGCTCCATATTTTGGTAATTCTGTCGATCAAACGTAAAGATTTCGCGGTATCACTTAATTATAAGATGCTGAGGACTCCATTCCCTTTCTTTTTATCTGCTTCCGCAGTTATCAGGCCTTGAGTGAAAGCTTTTTTTTTTTTAGATGTGTTCCATGGCTGGGCTTTGCTGCATGCTGTTCTTATCGATTCGTGACGTGCTTCGTCTGCTTTTTCGACCTTATTTGAAAGTATGAATTTATGTAAAAATGCTAGTGATCGAAGCTCGTGCACGTGGGATTTCCATAACTTTTCTCGGTTGAAGTGTGTTTTCTGGTGATCCGTTTCTGTGATCAGCTACGTGAACTAGTGAATATTTTTATTATTGTGATTTTAAAATTCGGACCTCTTGACTTCATTTTTGTTACGGATTAGATTCGTCTAAAGAATTGAGTGTTCATCCGAATGCCGTTAGACTATCGCAATTCGAAGAATCATTCCATGGAATTTTCCGAATCAACGTTTTGTTGAATCATCCATTCCTTTTATGGTGCATCTCATTTATGCAAGATTCGTTCACGTTATTTAAAAGATGTAAATTTACATCCTTGAAGGGGTTTAGAAGGTCGTTCAGATTTTATATCAGCTGGGGGCACGTCCTTCGAACACTTGATTTTTTTTATGGGAAGTCAAGGATTACGGCAACTTCCTCAGGCATATAAAGTACAGTATAATTTATTTGGCACTATTTACGCAAAGATCTTTTTTTATTTTACAGCAACAAATCTGACTGCGTCTTGAAATCGATGGCTCTCTAGTCTAGAATATCGTACGAAATGCAAGCTGATGTGAGGGGGGGGGGGGTATGCATATCGTTCAGTAGATGATCTTTGTCTAATTTATCAATAATGTATCTCAATCAACGTTTGAGTATCTGGAAATTTGGCACGCACTAAAAATAAATTCATCAACGGAATGATTATTCAAGTGAAGTGTGGAAAACCTAGTACAGTTCAAGCATTCAGAGTCCGAAAGAGCATCTGACAAGTTCCCTTTTTTTCTTTTTTCTTAGCTGTTCCCATTTGACGTGGTAGTCTTTATCATTCTTGCGAGGTACAGTAGTTCTCGAATGAAAATACTAATGTGTCCATTAGTCTTTTTCTAGTCACTGCAACGCACAATGTTCAAGGAAGTACAGTACAGTATTGTTTACGAATTGGTGCTTAATTACGGGCCACTCCGTGGAACAGCTCCTAAAAGTTGAGAAGTAAGTACAGTAACAGAAATTGCGTTTGAATTTGATGGCACCTTATAATTCGCGTGAATACTGTACTGTACTGTATTTAAATGCATTAGAGAAGAGCAGAAGCGACATTTGAGGTGGACGTGAGAGTATGGATGCGTTCCAAGGAAGCTTTCATTGCTTTCGAGCACCTGGCGTTGGAACGCTCCGAATTGATGATTTGAATAATCGAACGTTCGCGATTCCCTTGTGCCCTGTAATTACCGGGAACCTCGCCGGTAATCTCATGCCTGTCCGAATTGGCCTGATTTCCAGTTCGAATTTCCCTGAGAAGCCCAAAAGTTTTTGATAGGCGTGTTTTGAAAAGCGGTCATGCCTGTGAGTTCGTGTGTGGGGGCCCTCTTGCTGATTCCATAGACTCGATAGTAGTCAGTAGATGTGGAGAGGGGGAAGGCAGTCATTACGCGGTGCTGGAAGACGATTGAGGAACACACGGAACACCTGGCACCGTGGACGTGTCCTCAGGCGATTTCCTTTCCCTGCCTTTCGGTCGTTGTTCTCCCCACTGCACTCTCCGCTTACGATGCCGTCATCATTATCCGCACTCGCTCCCCGTGTTACGAGGGATCCGGGATCCTGCCTCAGGGCATGCCCATTGGCTTCACTCGCACACTTCGGAGTGACAAAGAAGCCAGGGAAAAAAAAGGTGTTGCGCAACTCGGTTTGCTGCCAGCTTTGAAGGGGGTGACACCAACTAACCGGTCCTTGTTGATCGGATCGTACCCCGAAGTCGATTTTTAATTGGAGAAAGGGCTCGAATGGTTATTTCGATTACAATAACTGATTTTGGGAGATATACTGTATGTGCGTTACAAATGCGTTCCGGGTGTCGAGGGCGAATGATTATTCTTCAAATAGCCGCGGAATACGCTCATGCGCAATTGTGGATGTTGTTTCCCTTCTAAAAATTCATTGACCTGATTTTTTTTTCGAATTTTGTACCAGAAGATGTTGACGTTGAATAATCGTGTGAAAAAGGGTTTCGATCATTTGTTTTTGCCGCCGAGTTGTTGGATTTTAAGAAATTCCGTCAGTTCTAGCTCTAAAACGACGAACATTTGAAGTCAAAAGTGGTGGCTGATTTTGTGGATTCATACTACATTAGTTAATTGACTTCAACAAAGGTTTTTTGCATATGTTCTCGTCGGATGTCCAGGAAGTTACTGTACTGGGTAAATTCTGCATTTTTTACAGTTACAGTTCTGTATTATAATCGTGAAACACATGGAAGTACAGAACATTAAAGTTGGTTATTAGATTGTGGAAAGGGTTTAATAGGAAATGCTTGAATCATGAAAAATGCGAAACATTTTGTGCCGTGCAGTAATTTCAAGAGAGTGTGCCGTTGAACCCAACCAACACATGAACATCCCTATGAGAATCCAGAAGCAATTGAAACGCGGGAAAATTTTCTATGTACAATTAAATTCTGGTCGTGACTGCGAATGAAGAACTAAACCCCATTTTGAACCATTCTTTTTGGTGATTAACGAACTGTCAGACAGTCCTGGATTGAACGGATGACGAATGCGCAGTAACTTTTTGGACACTCCATGAAAAAATTTGGTCAGCTTATTGAGCTATTGTCCCTCTGGCTTTTTGAAGGTCGGAACTTTGAACCCGGAATGAGAAGACGTGGAGAATAATTCGCGTCATTTCCTGCTTTTTCTTTTCTTGAAAAAAAAAAGCCCCTTCTCTTAGTTCATCATAACGAGTAACGATGAGCAATAAAACTGAGTTGCTGCTGGGAGTGAATCGCCTTTGTCTTCGATTTTTTGGCCGGATGTTCCCTCAAGTTCAGTTGCCGAGAAGCAGCGAAAATTGGAAGCTTTGGCTGGCCGAGTCCATCCTGCTTTTGCCGTGTTTCCGGTCTCCGTGTTCCGCATTCTGCTTCCAGTAAAAGAAGCAGTCTCATTATTTCATCTCGAGTTGATGGAATCTTCGTTGTTAACCGCGAACGCTCTTCCTCGTTTCTTCTCGTTGAGGCCGTTAACTACGAGAAAATTTGAAAAGTTTTTTTTTTAATTGTTGGATGTTTTCGTGGTTGCCGAGAACATCATTAGTGCGGAGGAAATAGCGACGAATTTGCATTTCTGCTTTAATAAGTTGCATTCATTTTTCGGGTCAGTGAATTTCACCTCGGTAATTGTTAAGCCATCGTGTAGAAAAGTGAGCCGTTGTGGTTGTTCCTTTGTTTCGAAATATTTCAGGAAAAATATAAAAAAATGTATGCGTCATTCTTGATATTATGCGCCGTTTTAAATGTTAATACCGAATTTCTTTCTAAGATACTGTACTGTATTTCGATGCAAAATTTTGTTTATGAGTGCTCGATTTGTTCAAGATTGTGTGCGGTCTTTTGAGCAGTTGGAAGTTTAGTAATGGCCATAAAAATCTTCCTGATCTCGAAGTTGACGAAGCAACTATTGAATCGCAATAAGTGTGCTTAGGCTCATTTGCATTATTCCTGAAGTGTTTATCACGGATTGCGAGCATCGTGATTCATCATCACTTCTTCTTGAGCATGCGCGTAATTGAATGCTATTAATTGTCATCGTTGACCTTCTGCGAGTCGAACGTAATCTTATGCGATTGGGCCATATGTTGCGTGATTTACAAAATTATCCTTCCTACTGCCTCACGTAAAGCAACTAATGACACTGCTTTTTTTGTGTGTGGCACTCATCCAGGCTTTTCGACATGGGGCAAGAAGATGGGAAAGAAATGGGATTCGATGAAGCGGTCGGATTCGAAAGAGCAGTTGGCTATTGCAATCCTGGCGTCGCCCATCAAACAGCGCAAAAACAAACCTGGCAGTGCCAGCAAATTGCGGGCTCGCAACACCGAGCCCCTCTCATCGCCAGCAATGCCGGAAATACCCCGAAATCCGCAAACTCCGCAAACGGAAATCAGCAAACTGGTGGCTACTCCTAGACCGACGTTTCCGTATTCTTTTATAAAAACTTCGAGCAGTCGGCCGAAATCCGTGGCTGGAACTCTGGTTTTGGAGGATGCGGATGTGGTCACGGAAAAAAGTGTTGCCGAGGTGCACGTTGAATCATCTGGTATCCAGAAAAAGAAGCTGTCGTACGTGGAAGCGAGTGATGAAAGAATGGATTTGGGGATTGGGGATGGACTTGATGGCTCGAGTATCCGTGGTGATGTTCCAAGAGGTAAATGTTTTTTTTTTTTTTTTACTTTTTAGTTCAAGTCGAATACCGAATTTAATCGATTACCGCGATTAAAAAGTAGTAAAATAGATTTCAAATAAGATGTAAGAATAATGTGCACAGAAAGGATTAGACTTTGGGTAGTATACCAATGTTCGTAGCATTTTAAAATTAACGATAAACTAATCCGATCCGACTTTTTTAGTGATTCATTTTTTTAAATTTACGAACTACAGTACGTGACAAGTTGGTCGATTAGCTTGTATGCGAACTAATGTAGTCTATGTTTCTCTTTGTTGACATATTCCACCGATAATCAAGTAATATACGAATGAAAAACAGCAATATTTTAGTTTTTACACTTGAAATGAGCAATAATGATGGGAAAAAATGGTAGTAAACATTTATGCAGCCTTATCATGTTGCACACAAATTTGACGAAGATAGCTTCAATTTCAAGTCTGGTTTTGGATTTGTAATTATCGAATTTTTTACATATGGTTATTTTTAAATGTCCCTCGAGCATATCGCGCACCCTATTTTTTGCGTTCAGTTTCGAAAAAGGCGCGCGTTGCGCTTGGTTAAATACTGTACGACAAATGCTCTAGAAGTCTAGATAGTCTGGAATTCGACATGCTTATTGTTTTCTTTTTTACTTTTGCTGTTTTTTTTCGCGAACTTTGTATCGCCATTGAATTTTGAGGGCCGGTCAATAATTTTCAAGACTGCTTGGAATAAATACTTCGGACGTTGTCTCTTCATTCGAAAACATGTCCGGGATGTTGAATATCATTTCCACCAATTTAAGTGAATTTTTCATTGTTCAAATCCAATGCATTTGCGCAGCTTCCCGAGCATGACCTTCAGTATCGAACGTGGTGATGCCCTTTTCAAGCTTTCTTTCTGATATTTTCCGATGGTAGTGGGCGATATTCGTTTTTCCAGTCAAGGACGAATTGATGAATATTGTACTGTGATTTTAAAAATTTTAACCATCTCTGTCCTGTAGCATGGCTCTCATCAAGTGCCAGAGTTTCAAAATTTATAGACCATTCTTGTCATTTTTAATGCAGTACTGGAGCCAGTGTACTATTGCGTTGCAACGGAATCTTATGTAATTAATAAGTTGAAGTGAGGTTCGGAATTCCTCTCTGGTGCATTCGAGTACAGTAAATTATTCTTTAAGTATATTTAAAGTGTTCGTGTTTAAAATGGAAATGTCGGAAGTTGAATGGCCTCAGCAGAACTATAAAAATGTGTCACATTCCATTCAAGAGGCCGGGTCTCCAGAAAAGTACAGTACTCAAAAGTTGTACAAAAAAAGGGAGACCATGATTGCCCTTGAATCCAGGATTACAAATCTTCCGTATCCTGAAATTGTTTGGAATGTTGCACGTTTTTTTCTTCCTAGAGTTCTTTACTTTCGTTCTCTTGAATGAATATGTTCTTATTGTTTTCATTATTTCGTTCTTTCACAGGATCTTCGCTACTGCGGTTGAAGTCTAAGCTGGTGAAAATGAACGACGGCGTGAGACTTCCACACAGAAGCTTCTCCATGTCTTCTTTGCTTCATTCCGTCGGGAAAAAAACTGCTAATCAGCCTTCCAAGTCTTCAACTTTGACGGATTTCGGCCGCAAGATCAGTGCGCCCCCGACGCCAAATCTTGCTTGCGGTGACAAAAACGGTACTTCTTCTTGGTCTTCTGGTTCCGACAAAGCCGAGGACAACCGAACGGATGAGGAGAAGATGGGAGAGTTCAAGTGAGTTGAACCGTCTAATACATCCTGGAATTCCTCCTTGTTAGTTCGTTATTTTTTCATTATTAACTTCCTTTTGTATGTTTTTGACGAAGGTTGACTGGTAAGGTTCATCATTTGTGTGCTTCCAGTCTTATTGTCTGGATAGGGATTGGTGTAATTTTTACTGAGAAAGCTTTTCAATTTTTGGACCACTGCCCAAATTTTTTCAACCATGCTTGAAATTGGGACTTGAACCAATTCCTTTTATTGATCCCAGAAAGTTTTGGGATAGTCTTACTGAGAAACTTCGGCACATTACTTGAACTTCTTGTCAAGGAACTAATGAAACTTTTGAACCATTAATAAATACAGTAGTTGGTTCCTTACTCAGAAAAGTACTTGGCCCTTTTGCATCAAATTTTGAAAGCGCGTAACTTCCGGAAATTTCGAAATGCTCTTTTTTGAATGGGATTTAATTTTGTTTACAACTGGTTTTAGAATTGCTTCAGTACCATGGTTTCCTCTGAGTGAATTTGCAATTTCAGTCTGGCGCTTGTTTTTCATTTTAGTTGACGCAAACGAATAGTAAGGAGATTGCGCAGTAAAGAGAACCAGTCTGCTACCGTCGAAAACAAACAAACGAATAAGCTTACGAACAGAAAGTCTCCCGATCACGTCGTGTGACATTCGTGACCCTTTTATTTAAATCAAGTACCCGTTTGATGTTTTTCGAATGAACACCTGTTGGATGACGAATTTTCTTCAATGGTGAATCCGTATGATTCAAGGACGTTCATTGATGAAAATTGCATTTCTATTTTCCTCTTTGTAAGGTTTTTTTTATTATTTTTTTCTTCGAAGATAATTTTATCCGATCATACGTGGGCTTTTCTTGCGATGGAAATGCTGACATGGCAGGTGGACATTTCTAAAATTGTAAATGTCCAGTCGCACGTTTTCTTGATCAATGAAAATGCTACTTTCCTTGTCGCTGTAATCTTGCATCCTCGAGCATGGCTGACATGAAGATTTTTTTATTGCAGGAGTCCGAAGGACGAGATTGCAGAACCAGTTAAACCGCCGAGTACTCCAAAGATTGAGCCAAAATCTGAGATTCAGATTGAAGAGCAACATGCGCCGCCGACTCCAGCACCGAGAACTTCTCGTAGTGAATCCCGAGTGACGATCAATGGAATGATGTTCTGTGACAGTCCGCAGATGCGTAATGGCGTAAAAAGCAGACAAGGGTTACCATCACAGTTCTCCACCTTGCCCCCGACCCTTACAGCGTTGAACAATAAACAATTCAAGCTCCTGCGGCTCGTGAGAGAGCCAGGTACTCCGTTGGGAATCTTCATTACTTCTAAACCGCATCCGGAAAAGGGTACGCATGGGTACATAATTGCGTACATCGAACCCGGTGGGCTAACTGACAGGTGAATAATGCTGTGCCCTTTTGTGGCTTCTGCTTATGAATGAATTCTCGACAGTTCGTGGAGTGTATGACTTCTCTGCCTGCACCTTCTTTCAATGCGCAGTCGTGAAAAATCACTAAATTATTCACACTTCGTGTTATAGAATATCGGGCTTAATTTTTTTTTTTTTTCAATTGCAGGGATGGGAGGTTTCGGATCGGCGACGAGATCATCAACGTTAACGGGAAAAGATTGCGTGGAGTTACGCTGGAAGAAGCTCAGAATTCTTTGCGGACAACGTCGAGGGATGTAGACATTGTGATAGCGCGGGATCTGATGGATTTGGAACAAAATTCGGCCTGTTTCCCAGCAGCGGAAACTCCGCAGCCATCTATCGGAAGTCCTCGCAGACTGGACACTCGTTGCTCTTCTGTGAGAACCCTTCTTATAACGATCTGTTTTTTTATTTTATTTTTGTAAGTAAAAGAGAACATTGATTACCAGGGTTGAGAGACGGGGGCATTTTTTTCGCATAATTCAAAATAGATAATTCAATGATTTGGACTGAGTACAATATAATCAACAAATAAGCAATGTAATCTCAAAAGAGCTATCGAAGTGATGAGAACCAAAAATTTGGTCATGAAGAGTCGAGTCGGCGATGACGAAGAAAAATATGTGGTTCAAGATATTTTGCATTCTTTTTGGACTCCGTGAATTGCATCTTGAATAATTGAGGTTTTACTTTGCAGTTATGTTTATGGCGTAACCTTTTCCAACCCAAAATGTGTACGAATTGTAGTGAAATCACTTCAATAATGGAGACACGGAATACCAGTTCTTTCGGTGGCTTTCGGTATTAGGAGTGCAGTATTTGCGAATGTCAGTCCAAGTCAAAGATCAGTAAAATATTTTCTTTTCAATTTAAAATCACTCTAAATTGCATTCAAAGGTGGTTGTAGGGGCGTCCGATTTTTTCCTGATTGTGTGACGGAATTTGTTCCAGGTGATGAGTCATAATTATGAAGACAGTGTACTGTACCTTGGCGGAACCGGTGTCGATACACCGACTGGCATGGAGGCGTCGTGTCGCCGCATGCGCAGACCTAACAGTCAACAGGGTGCAAATGGCAGCCACCTGAGTCTGTGTGAATCCACCGGTCGTGCTCTTCCGCGACGTCCTAAATCTCTTTCACTGACAGTACTTGTCATTTGCTACGAGAAGGGCGAAGGGAAGAAGACCCTGGGATTCAGTATTGTCGGTGGAAGAGACTCGCCAAAGGGTTGCATGGGTATCTTCGTGAAGACCATCTTCCCGAATGGCCAGGCTGCTGAGGATGGCAAGCTGAAAGAAGGTTATTCTTTTTACGACGTTTTCATGTTGAATAGGATTGAAATGTAGTTGTCTGAGCCCGAATAATCGATTTCAATGAATATCTTGAATGTCCGAAAATTTCAAGCTCGATTGCAAGAAATGCATGCCCCATTATCGAAGTAAAAATAACCGTTATAGTTTCATTGATAATTTATTTGCAATTTTTTTTCTTGAACCGACTGAACTCTTCAAAAGTTGTCAGAAATTTAAACTTCGTTACTGTATTTTCATTAAATGCTACCGGTATAATTAAGTACGTATTTTATAAACCTCTGTGTAACTAAAAATTTGCTCTCGTGTGTATTTTGTCACGTGTGAATTAGAAAATTTGTGCAGTGGAACGAACTATCCGTTGGGATTCCAAAGCTAAATTTTGAGAGACGATTCGTCTTATGAGATAATTATTTTTAAAAGTTGACGGTATATTTTTCAGGTGATGAAATCCTGTCAGTTAACGGCGCCACATTGCAAGGATGTTCACATGCCGAAGCTATCGGGATCTTCAGGCAGATCAAGATGGGCAGTGTTGTATTACATGTAATTCGACGATTTTCCGCTGCGAAAAAACGGTAACACTCCATTTAAGTGAAATTCCGTTTTTGCGCGGATGAGTTCCCGAGCATGTCGTGAAAAAGATGTCTTCATCCTTGACGTGTCTTATTTCAGGGCATCCAAGTCCAAGTCCTGTGACCATTTGAATCAGGTGGCTACGTGACGGTGAAAACGCACACCATTATTCGGCGAGCGAATTTTTGCTGCTTTAATGCCCCATAATATCCACTCTGTTTCCTTATGTCTCTTGGCTGCATAACTCGCAGTCAACCTGCTGTGCACCCGTATGAAGCGAATTTTCTTACAATCATTGAACATTTTCGGGAAAATTGTCGAGAATACGAATCTGTGGTTGATGCGTGCGTAGGACTTCTTGTCGCGTTGCTGTGTTGTTGAATGAACTGATTATAGTCCAAAAATATACGAAGGGTTTTTTGAAGTCTGCTATTCCTCCCACGGTTGGTAATGCACACGGTGTGGGTGTCTGTAGCCTTTTTCGGTTGAACTGGAGTTTGCTGGTCTGTGCTACTTCTCTGCGATAAATATTGCTGATTCAGCATAAATTGGATATCATCTTTGAAGAGGCAGTCTGAAGAATATCTGACTCATTCTTGGTGTCGCGAAAGAAAAATTTTGAACCGCCTTTTGCGGTCATCAAATCCAAGTATCCTCTGTACTATTACTGTAATTACCCAAGTACCGCGGGCCCTCGAGTAAGCTGCGCACCCAAATTGTTCGAGCTGAAATTCGGCTAAAAATTTATTCATGAGTAAGATACGAGCCCCATTTTTAGAGCCCGGCTATCAAAATACAGTATTTTGAAAGCAAAAGACACCATACTTTAAATTTTAACTGGAATTGTAGTCAAATTGAGTGTTAATTTTTCATAAATTTTAAAATTGTCTGTTGGTTGGAATCATACGTGATTCCAACATTTTCTGTTGGAATCACGTATGAGGTGCACCAAATTCTGAAATCTTGAAAAAAAATTTTATAAGGCTCGTGACGACACCCTTGTTTTTTCTTCTTAATTTTGAAGGAAATGTGCAATGTGGTAATTGAGTAAATAAATGATGTCCCAATTATATTTTTTCTCTAAAGGCAAACTCTAGGTTCGGCCTTCTTCCTTGTGTTGGATAGCTTACTTGAATGACGTTACTTTTCCCTCACCAGGAGATAGCCACGGCTTTGATTTCCAAATGGGAAAGTCCTCTAAAGACAAGCGTGATATTTATTACCGTCTTGCGAAAGAAGAAGGTTGGCGGGCACGCAGCGCGTTCAAGTTGATGCAGATAGATGAGACGTTTGACATCTTCAACGGTACGCTCAATGATTGCATGATAGATGCCAGATATCAAGTTTTCTGTCAATTTCAAAGGTGTTACGAAGGTTGTAGATTTGTGTGCTGCACCTGGAAGTTGGAGTCAAGTGATAGCGAAAACGTTAACGTGCGTCTAACAGTGAAATTATGATGAATCTGAGCCTATGATATGCAGCTTCCTGCTGTGCTAAATTTATTTAGGCAACCCGATGACCCTCCTGAGGAAGAAAAGCGCGTGAAAATCGTAGCTGTTGATTTGCAAGCAATGGCTCCGATCCCCGGAGTGGTACAAATTCAAGGCGACATCACGAAAGTGTCGACTGCTGAAGCAATAATAGCGCATTTTTCCGGTCAAAAGGCGGACCTCGTAGTCTGTGATGGTGCTCCGGACGGTACTTTCAATTGAGCGGAATGGCCGAGTGCTGAAATTGAAGCACCAATGATTCGATTTCCACAGTCACCGGTATGCATGATATGGACGAGTATTTGCAGTCTCAATTGCTTCTGGCTGCCCTGAACATCACCACTCACGTCCTTAACGAGGGAGGCACGTTCGTTTGCAAAATATTTCGCTCGAAAAATGTCACCCTCACGTGTTCGAAGTTGGCTGTTTTCTTCCCGTTCATCAAGATTGCGAAACCCCGAAGCTCACGAGTATCATCCATTGGTTGGTTGAGAAATTTCTGGCATTTATGTTAATGTGTCTGTATTTATATTTTGTGGTTGTGCATATTTCAGAGTCATTTGTTGTGTGCAAAGGGTACAAGCCACCGAAAGGATATGTTCCAGTTATGTACAATCCGCTTCTCGGCCCTGATTACGAAGAGGTGGTGAATCAACTGGAAGGCATCAATAGATTCATCGTCCCTTTCATTGCCTGTGGTGATCTAAGTGGATTTGATTCAGAAAAGAATTATCCGCTCCAGGTGAGATTTCGCGTGAAAACGCGGCTGCGGTTGCATATCGCGCGATGAATTGGGCAGGGTAATTCACGTGTTGCTCGAACCATAAAATCCCGACATTTTCTTTAGTTATGAAATCATAATAAGGACACGTGTGTCTAAGAGATTGGATTTCTCGTGAGCTGGGGTACAAATCCCGGGATCATGGGGATTATTGTTGAACTTTTTGTGACCAAGTCGTATGACTTGCGCCTGTTGTTAATGGAAATGAATCGATGACATGCTCCTGACTTGAATTTTTATGTGTTTATAGATGGATTCGATTTTGTACCATCGTTAGGAGAGTGATTCTTGTCAATGAATTTTTTTTCTGTTGAATTAATTTTGCAATAGTCACGAACGGATTTTCCCTGAAAAATTCAAAGCGTTACCATTTCCTATTTCAAGCGACAAACTCTTCTTGCGATGATGCAAGGATTTTTCGTCTTTCACACTGGCCTACCGTTCTTGGAAGAAATGAAATTTATTTCTGCATAACTCCTCGAAGCACTGTACACCCAATCTCATGTCGTGGTTTTAATACTGTGTGAATCACCACGTCGAACTACAGTTTTTGTTTATTCAATCTTTTGACGTGTACCCACTGATGTTCGATACTGAAAACTTTATTTCGTTGCAGCTTGAAGGTTGCGATACCTACACCCTTCGTAAACCGACACAACCACCGATTCACCCCCCTTATGAAGAAGCTTTGTCACGTTTTCCGGAAAATCCGAGAAATTTCGACGAAAGTCACGAAAGCGATTAGAGAGAATGCCTGGATTCCTGCACCACTCCATGGGAGAAGAATCAAATTACAGAATACTTATTGAATGAGCGACCAGTGTCGTAGATTTTGCCCTGTTGGCTTTTATTCCTGTCAGAAAGCATATTTCGTAAGTGGACTCGTTGAACCTTTTTGTTGCAAGGTACTACTCTTTTTTTTCGTGCCGAAATTTAAATAGAATGCCTATCGTTTCAGACGTTATGAAGTGTGACTCGGTTATTCTTGAAAAATGTTTTTGACGCGAAATCTGCTTGCGAAGACGAAAGCAAAGTGAGTCTGTTTGTTGATATTCTAATCTAACGTGTTCGTGAAATATGCGTTTTCTGCCCTTTTAACAGGCGGGTTTTGGTTTTCGTCGAAAGCTGTGTAACAGGACACCGGCATATGGCACTAAGGGATCGTATGGCAGACAAGCTAGAACTGGTGATGTACGACCCTTGGAGTGAGTTTGAATCACCAGATTTAAAAAGTCGATGCTATATTGACTAAACGATATTTTTATTCGCAGTTCGGAAAGAAGTTCCGTACAAAGAAGTGAAGAAACTCCGCAGCGTTTAAGATCCTGCTCAGTTTTATTTAAGTTATAGTCATGGAAGAAAAGCTTCGGCTCGTAGATTGTAAGTGTGGTACACTGTACACTGGTGTAGTGTATTGAAATTCGTTAAATTTCTCTCATGAGGAATTTTTTTTGGATATTGTTGAAATTTCAGTAAGCCTCGGCGTAGGGTTATCTAAGCAAGGGAATTTGACGGGGATTGAACGTCGGTTGAAGGACTCGGTTGCGGATGTTCACAACTGCATCGGCAAATGGAATCAGCAAAATGCGCGTGGGACCAGCGTTCTGATGGATCTGGGCAATTTTCTCCTCTCAAGACAACCTGTGGGGTACGCGATGGTTTTTTATTTTCCCAGGAGTTGATTGAGTGAAGGCTTTTATAGGGGATTGCCTAATGTACGAGTAAATTTCATAATCCTGTAGTATGACGCAATATGTTTCGATACTTTCGCGTGATCAGCGTGTCGCAGACTTTTTGGAGAATTGAGATTGATGCGTTCTGAAATTTTTTTTTACTGGAATGCGTACGCTTGGTATCCACTTTCGTTGCGTCTGTTCGTCCACGAGGCGGTTAGCTGTCTTTCAGTGAAAAATACTTAGAATACAATTTAATTCTGAAGTACAGTACTGTATTTACAAGTATTCAGCACGGGTACTGTTCGTATACGGTGTACGCGTGCAATGATATCCGCGAACGCTGTTGAACTTTTCGTTGTCGACTTTTTTCATGCCCGTTATCCATTTTGTAATTTTGTGACTCGAATGAGGTTACTCACCTGTCGAACGTTGATTTCCACACTCTTGACTAATTTATGACGAAGTTCGTGCTGGATTACTGTTTTGCGTAGGACGATAAATTGTATTACCTCTACGATAATCTAGGCAAATAACTTGAGGTGTCCGTTGGATTTTCGTGCTATTCTTTAGCTTTGTATATTTTCAACGAGTAATATTCACCTTGGAATCCGCTTATTATTTTTTCAAGGGATATCAAAACCGTCGCACAGTTTCAGCAAGTTGCTCCCGAAATCAGGAAACGACTGACAGAGCTGTCTGCTATCGTGGATAAAATGGTGCGGATTTCGTGTAAACAAAGAGAAAAGTTGATCATGTGATTTTTATTGTTGTGTTATCCTTTCAAGGAAGCTTTGTCGGATAAAATGACAATGATAGCGTCTCAAATGGAAGCCTTACGAGATTTAGAGCTATCCCAGTCGACGTCTGTCTGTGGTGACGGTTCCCCCCAGATATTCTTCTATTCCTGGCCCGTGCAGTCTTTTGGTGAGTCCAATTTAAAATATTCCTGCTTTACAAATAAAATTCAATGGGTTTTTTAAATTCCTGCTTGATGCTTTTGGTGTGAGGTCTCGGATGGAAAGCGAGAACTGGCGGAGGTTCTCATCCGCTTATGTGTGGTTCAAGATAAAAATGCGGAATTGGTTGCGGACAGAGACACGACTTTATGGATAATTGCGTTCCTAATTTTTTCTTCGTTTTGATTAAGTTTGTGGTTGAAAAAGTACCATTGCGTCCTTATAGGCCGGACCAGATCTGAAAAACATCGGGCGTGGCCTATACTGAGGATATGTATTGGAGTATGGGCCGCACCCCGATCTTACCTACGTAGCTCATACTATAAAAGTCGGAAAAATCCGGAATGACCCTTTCAAATAGCTCATTTCAAACTCAAAACGTAAACTGCAGCCCTTTCCTGACTCCTAAATTGTGGGTGCTAAATTTCCTTTCACTAAGTTCTGTATTTTGGAATTTTTACGCTTTATCGTCGTATTTATAGACTGCATTCTTTCCTGGAAATGCTTCGGAATTTTTTTCCCCGCAAATAAAGTTAAAGCCGCCACTGGGCAACCGCCGATTTATATTGAAAAAAAAAAAAATTCCCTAATAATGGAAGCCTTGGAAACCCCTTTTAAACACCATCCGCAAAAATTATTGAGAAGTAAAATGTGCTCCTGCCAGTCAATTTTGTTTTTGATAGCCCTCCAACAAGATTCAAGTTTCTGCCAGGGGTTTGTGATATCAGAAAAAGGCCAACACGAAGTAGATATAATTTACTCCTTGGGAACACTCGCTAAAAATAATTAACGCATCGCAGGGTTTTTTTTTGTGCTTGTTTTCTAGAAGAATATAAAATTTAATTTCCTATTTCTTAATAACTTAGTTAATATTATTCCAGCTTTTTATTATAAAGCCCCTTTAAACCGCCACACACTTCGCGAACAAATGACGGTGGCTTATCAAGGTTTAACTGCGATGATCCTCAAAAATTACAGCGGTGATTCTCCAGATTTGTCTTTTGGAAAAATCAGACGAAGTTTTCTGTGTTCCGTCATTTTCGCAACAGTGGACGCCTTTCGAAAAGTTGCGTCGGCATATGAAGCAGAGCTGCCCACGAAGCGCCGCGTCGTGTCGAGCGTGGCACACGGGTCGGATCGCGACGCTCTGCTCCTGCACGTCTCAGTATGGGGCTACGATGGATCTTTGTCGGGCGAGGTCAGGACGCTGGTGGACGCGATGCTATACGAAACGGGTCATTACTCCTTGTAGGACGAACTCTTCGTTTATTCCTCCGCCGTTGGCTCAAAACTACGATGCCGTGTTGTTTGAACCTTAGCCATGAAATGAATTATGTTTTTGGGCGACAGGAATGAAAGCGTGAAGGTTATTTTTTCATGATTGCGATTCTCTTTTGCTTGAGTGCATCGAACGATGTTCTCTCTGTTGTTAGCCCCGAAAAACTTCAAAGCAGAACTTGGAGCTGATCGATGTCTGTAATTCATGTATAATAATATTTTTTTTCTCGGAAGTCTCACTGGCAGGTGGTAACAAGGTATTCTCGGTGTTCCAGGGGATGTTCACTTCATCGAAATGGCAGGTGAAGAATTTTTTCGACGCTATACCGGGGAACATTTCCTGTGCTCTGTGACCTCTGTCCCGTTTCGATGAAACTTGGTTGTTCAGTGACTTAGTCAGATGTTCTTGTCGCGGAGAATCGCCTTTTACTGTAGTGTGCAAAAACGTACGAACGATGTTCAATTTTGTTGTGATGCGGAATATGTGACAGAAAATCAATGTATTCTCAATTTCGCGATTATAAGCTGCACTAATTTTCTGAGGAGGACCGAGGATTGATTTAGTGCTTACAGCAACAAATTTAAATTCAGTATTTTTAAAAAACGGCCTCAATTCAGAATGTTAAAACCTGCGTATTATCTGATCCTAAAGGCCGCATTTGTCCTGAAGAAATTTTATTTGCGGAAAGCCCCCGTATGATACCTTGTTCGACCCATAGTGAAAACATCTTGAAATGCACTCCCGACTGCGGCCTATAATTTCCGAACGAGAGACATTTTGTAGTTCAGAACAAACTGATTCATCCTTTTAATTTACGATGCACGTAGAAATCATGTGCACATCTTTTTTTTTTTATTCCGTCCAAAAACCAAATGCAACAATTTGGTTTAACGATTCTTTTTCTGCTTCATCCGTTGCTGGAATTAATGCATGTCGACTGTCGATTCAATTATTTTTCCGGTACTACCGAATTTTGTAGTTCAATAGGGATTTTCAACCCATCCCATACAGTATATGAATTCTCTAAAACGAATTTTTTCTGGTCCCCTGGATTTCTTTGTGGAAAGAGTCCTCCTGTTCCATGAGGTTTTCTGCAAGTTCTGAGTGATGATAAATGAGAAACTCTGACTCGCATTCACTGCTGTTACGTTTCAGGCTGGAAATGTGGAAGAATATACTGTACTGTAATTGGAAAAAATGGGTAGAATTCCTCCTCCAGCCATTTCACTCAAGCACATTGGCCTGACTTAGTCGAGCTCGTGTAGCACGAATTCTCCGAAGTAATTTGTGATTAATGCTGTATTTCCTGCAGAGTATTTTACTGAAGTTGGAAAAAGCGAGACTCCTCGCATTTGTTTTGTCTGAACGCAGTAATTTGATACTCGTCTCTTTTTCATTATTCTGCGACAGTCCCAAGGCATCGTCGTAATTCAAGTCGGAATATAATCCGATGCTGATGTAAATTAAATGCTGTGGCTTGATTCATGAGCTCAATTGCAGTACTTACGTGGCTGTAACTGCAGAAGTTCTCGTTTCGCGGGTCAAGTATCAGCGAGTTCTCGATGTTTTTCGCTTTCCAATGCTGGGAGAGGGCGTTTGACATGAGCGCGTAAGTAGGACATTTGCACTCTAAGTCGTAGAAATTTGCGGTTTCCCAGAACCCATTAATGAACTTCCAAGACACCCGCCTTCATTCCGTCAGAGAATTTTATTCAAGAAAAAATGCGGCAGACGCATCGAGGCGTTGAGCACGAAACATTCGCTGCTTTTTTTCCCATCTTTCTGTCTCATCTTTCGTTATCGTGGGGAGACTTCACGCTTTAGGTTTTTTTTTAGTCTTGAATATCTGTTGACGATGTCGAGTCAGCAGCACTCGGAATCGCATTTGATGGGAAGGGCGAATAAGGAAGACTGTGTGTGGGAGAATTCTTCTTGCGCCTGATTCCTAAAGGTCAATTCGTTTGCTCTCGGCGATGGATCTGTGATAAGAGTTTCTCTCAACAAAGTGTATCGTGTTCTCGTGATTTTTTCCGTGTTATGGCAGTTCCGGGCCTTTTTGTTACTGCAGTGGTGGAAAACATTCGCGAGTGATGGTGGTCTTGACTTGTCAAAAGCTTCCTGAATATGCGCTGTTTTATGAAGAGGGACGTTCTTGTGATATGAATTGCTTTCCCGATGAATTCGGTCGATTAATGCTTCATCGATTGATATTTCCACTCATTTGGAAATGGTCACTCTATATACTGTACTGTGTAGTGAGTAACGGTTTCATACGCATTGGTTTTTCATGTGTTAGCTATATTTTTTTTGGCTTTTTAAAAATCCCAGTTTCCGTTTCTCTGAACCGAAAAAGTCTTCATCAGGTTGCCGTGTGTTTACCGAAAAGAGACAGATTTTTTTTCCTGGTGGTCAGTCATCGAACCCTTTTTTTTTTCTCCCCGTGAGATCGTAAGTGGAAATTCAATGGATTTTTTTTTTCGGAGTGGCGCATTATTTGAGTTGCTCAACCGAGTCTTGCATTTGAAAAGTCAGACAGATTTCCGTGGGCATGTGATTGAACGCGACCAGAGTTTCCGCGATTTTCATACAGTTTTCTGAAGTAATTGAACTTTCCCCGTTCAAATTTTTTAAAAAAATAATCTATGGACATGCGAAAGATTCTCCATAAAAATTCGCTGTACAAAAATTTCAGGTTTTGTGCAAAGTTTTCGAACAGTTCTCAATTTCGTTAAGCGCTGTAAATAATTTTTTTAGCGTGGGTTGTCGACTTTTATAATAAAAATGGCAATTTAATGTGCTATGTTTTGAGTTATCCCCCACGCTCGCCTGCCTCCGATGACCTCATGTGTGCTCATGGTGCGAAAATTTCTACAATTTCATGGAAACGATCATTGGGTTTCTTCGAGATTTTCATTTTTTTAAATACGAAAATTTTATGTTTTTACTTCTGCCAGCCTTATGCAACTTTATTTAATCAGATTGGACGTATTTGCCATCGATGTATTTTTCATATGCTCCATCGAGATTAGAATTCCATTAAAATGATGAATTCCCAAATCAAAGTAATGCGTTGAACATACTGCACAACGATGGATTTCTCAGAAGTTTAAGGGTTTCTGTATAAAAAATAGTTCTTTAAAAGTCTCTTGTCGTAAGATTACTGTACACTAAACGAACATTTCGTAACTTGAAGCAAACCGTCCTTATGTTAATAATTGCGATATGAACCATTTCTGATTATACTGGGAAGCAAAATCCTGCAGTAACGAATGTATTTTGTGCTGAGAAATTATTCAACTATATTGAAGCTCACGTCCCATTTTTTTTTCTATGGTGAAGATTTGAAAGTATGGTAGCCGTACTGTAAGTACTGTGCTTGTACAAAATAAAACAGTAAACTTCGTACACAAAGTTGGTTGCTAATTTGCTCCTTTGGAGGATTATATATGCATTGAATTCTCGAATGTTACTGATGAGTAGGCGTGCTGGTTGATTTAAACGAGATTTAATTTCCTCATATTTGGCACATTTCCGGCCAAAGCCGAATTAGTTTGTGAAGTCGCTCAATCGTTCCGTGGCATGGAACGGTGAAAGTCTGCGTCATCAGTTCGGCTGCTACTGCAATACACAAACCGCACGTCGCGTTCTGAAAACTAACATAAATGCTTTTCGCTTGAAATCCCAGTGAAACATAATATCCTGCAGACGGAGTTTTCGTTTATCGAATCCAGAAATTGAATTTGTTTGTCGGGTGAAATTTTGCTTCCTTTTACTGTATTACTTATCGTGAACCGGGGTGTTTTCGCATTTAAAAACCCCAATTTCTGTCGATAATGGAAAGTGCTCGGGCGAAGTTCATTTAGTTTCGTCTTTTTTTTCCCAAAGGGGATTTCAGGTGGAACCCACTTTTTCCTGTTTTCATCAATGAGCAGTTCAGCGATAGTTTCTCATAATTTTAGATCTTAAAACCTGGAATTTTAAGCAAATTTTACGAGGCTTTTAAAATCCAGAATGATGACATCGTGTCATACGTCTCCTTTATTCGATTTGTAATGTTATCATTTTTTTTCTTTCTGTAAGGACTTTGCACAGCGTAATCGTAGTTCTTGTTATACGAAATTCTTTGAAGATATTTAAAAGCTAAGAAATCGATTAGTTTTCAGTTGAACCGAAAGGGAGACATTCTGTTATTGTATACGAGAGAGAGAGAGAGAGACCTTTTCAAAAGGTGCCAGTACACATTTCACAAAATTGTTTTCAAGTTTGTAAAGGATATCTGTACAGAATGGAAGGCCGCACACCTTTTCTGAGTCTTTGAGACTTGGTTTTTCAGAAGTTGCGGCTTTTCAAATACGTCCTTCAGTTTTGAATTAAAAACAAAATTTGTAGAATGAGCGGGAGAAAATGGCAATAGGTTGGTGATGCATGACCAACCAAGATTTCTCCTACAAGATTTTGCGCAAAGTCTGATTTATTTTCAACAAGTAGCAGATATAACAAAAACCTTGGTCTTCACGAGTTTCCCAAAGCCTGTGCATCATTGTCATCAAGCCGTTTTCCTGTGTTGGCTCTCACACCAATTCGTTTTTTGTATCCAGCATTATTGTGTTAACATCTTAATTTTGTATGTGAAGTAAATAGAAGTACAAAATGAGGTAGTTTTTGCGCAATCGAGCGATAGTTTTGTATCAAAGTTTGAATTTGCCTTGAAATAATTTACCCTTTCATTAAAAGGGTAAATGAAACTCAGGGTAAGAAACTCTCCCCAGTTTCTTTAAAAACCGGGGAGAGCCACAAAAAATTAACCTAAAATATAAAAACTGTGAGACTTGAGATTTATCATATGTTTCATTAGGAACATACACTCCTGGCGAATTCCTGGTCCTGGGATTGTGACACCTTCAGATTTGCTCATAGCACAAGTGATTTGCCCGTGTGAATAAGAATATGACCACACGCGAGATACGCGCGTTATTTCGGGATGGGTTGTGCCATAAATTTTGCGGTTTTCCCGGGAACTTCCGTGTTGCAGATTGCGGTTTTCGGGAGTTTTGATGGTTAATATTGATTTCAAGTTAT